TGTTTCTACCAAAGGAAGTCAACTCTGTATCTGTGATATCGTCGAATATTTTGCTAAATATTCATTAGTGACGTGCTGCTACAAAATTGCTATTCTTTGGGAAGTTCTGCTTGTTCTCATCTGTGCAATTTTTGCTTTTCAGGCTTGTCCTATACAGTGGCGTCTAAATGAAACTTGTAAATGTAATGACCCAATAATCGTGTTAAAGCTTTGCCTTAAACAGTCTAGCAGCCTACCAATGTAAAGCTTAATAAAGCTATGTTGAGAGACGCCCGAGATATGGTAACTCAAAATTGACCTATAAAAATCAGGCTTTGCAAAATTGTGTGAAATCAAAGAAAGTAAAATTGTCTTCGCGCGTGTAGTGAGAAGCATCACTATTGATAGAATGGGCATGCTCTGCATATCCAATGAATGGACAAATGATTTGTCTCTGCAGTAATCTATATTTCATTTATGATATTTTATTACGATGGCTTCCAACAAAACGGAAAACAGGGCAATAACAGATACCAGGCAAAACTTGGACTGTCATATAAATGTGCTCATTGTTATTTTGCTTGGGAGTCTTTGGCTATCGACTCTATTAAATTTTGGTCTTAAGTATCTGTCATTATATCCCAAATATCATAGAGAGTTGCAAGCAAGGGGTCTGAATTGATAGCAAAGTCACATTTCTTCAACTGACTGCTGTTTTATGGGACTTCAGATACATGTAGGATTCCTATCTGGGCTATTTACTGGTGACAGAGTATTGATTTGATTGGGTTTTCCAAACATTGTCTGGTTGCATTAGGCCTGAGAGAAAGAACTTTGTTGTGGTGGAGATGTTTACTTGAATGACACCATCACGAAAATAAGGGTAAGACATGACGTTCCAGCACTTGTGCAATGTAGTCCAATAAACCAAGCCATCCGGTGATTCTCACGAGGGCGGTTTTGTTCATTCCACCCAAAACCACCCAAAACCACCCAAAACCACCCAAAAACCACCCAAAACCGTGGCTGCTTTGTGGCTTCTGCTCCTCACTGACAGATGATTATGTCCTAAATTTAGCTAACACAGTCCATGAGCACAAAATGGTTTGTGCTCCACACGAAACCAATAGATCCTAAACAAAAAACAAAATTACACCAATGAGCACTTGTAATGTTAAGCCCAGATTTTGGGGGGTATTTGTAACTGCTCTGTTTTCCAATCGGTTTGAAAATATCTTCCTTTTGTTCATTACAGAGACAATAATATTCTTTTTTCATTTGATATTTAATACGTGTCCCTTCCACCGATCTCGATGCACCTCAATATACGCGAACACACTTTTACGTTTCTTTGATTGCGCACAATTTTGCAATCCGCATTTTTGAAGGTCAACTTTGAGTGACCATACCCGGGCGTCTCTCAAGATATATGAAATATTAATAGGTCCAAAGATTCAGAATTAATATAGCTTTGAATTGGTATGTTGCTTGAGTTGGTAGCGTAAGGCTATAACACAACGATAAGGTGATTACATTTGCAAGTTTCTTTTTTAGACGCCACTGTAAATATGTGTGTGTGTGGGTGTGAGAGAGAGAGAGTGACAAAGAGAGAGAGAGAGAGTGTGTGTGTGTGTGTGTGTGTGTGTGTGT